TGGCTCTGGTGAATTCTCTCACCCTCCTGCGCTTCTGACTGTACCCAGTGCATGTATAAACAAAACAAACAAATAAATAAATAAATAAAACATGCCTCTATTAAAAAAAATAAAAAATAAAAAAAATAAAATACATATGAATCTTCTGACATCAGAGGAAACATGTTTTAAAGTTGGTTATTTAGAATACAGAATGTGTTTTCCTACCGCTATCCCGCCCTCTCTCTACTGCCCCGCAGATACACTCCTAATTGTCACCACAGATTGGCAGTGAGGTTTCAAGAAAAGAAGCTGAGAAACTTACTACCCAAATGTAGAAATTGTTGCTATATATTGAGTTATATATGACTCTATTACTGTTGTTTAGATCTTATATCTAACTAGATTTTTGTTTAGACCTTCATTTGTATCTTCTACCATTAACACAATCATGCTATCTTGAAAATAATGCATTAACCCAAAAAGTAAGTTAGAATCTGCTATATTAGACATAAATACATCGTCACAATGACTGGGCAAAGACCTTTAATTTATTTTTACTAGTGGTGGATCGAAAACATAAACATTTGGCTAAATGAATCACCTATTTAAACTTTTATAAAAGGTCGCCTTTCTGTTTGAGTGTTAGTTGTTTCTTCTGCTTTTTCATAATAGGATCACTTCCACTTCACCTTTGGTTTACTTACCAGTAAGCAAAACTTGTTGCCCTGCAAGATAAAAGAGTACAACAAACCAATGAGTATAGAGCAGTGAGAAAATGTTAGTAAGAAGCAAGAAATTTAAATGTTGACTTAAGAAAACATTTACCTTTTAACTACATGTGTAGTATGTTATGGTACCTCTATAGCACTTGTTTTAATACTAGAATTTATCATCTGAGATCACAATGTAGTCAAACAGCAGATAAAGTGCATTGCATGTAACATACAGTATAAGAACAAGGTAAAGGAATATCGTTATATTCCAATGTGAATTGTTTCAGAGCTACATTTCAGTTGAATTTTGAGATAAACATACAAATGATGGATTTTGTAGATGAAGAAGGCACATCTATTTAAATAAAATGTTACTGTATTTAGAGGTAAAGGTATATTTGTTTGGAGGAGATTTAAACGATCCGTTCTCCCCCTGCCATTTTTAAAGCCTTTTATTATGGGGGAAAAAAAGACAACAGAATAAAGAACCTCTGTGTGTCACCCAACAGTTTTTAACAGTAATTCTTGGCCAGTCTTGTTGCTGAATCTTATTTTCCCACCAATATTCCTCTTTCCTACACAATATTTGGAGGCAAATAGCTACATTATATATTTCCTCTGTAAACAGGTTAATAGCTACCATACTATTATGCTTATGAAAAATTAGCAATAATTTCTTAATGTTAGTAAATATCCAGTCATTGTTCAAATAATTCAATCATTGCAAATGTCAGGTATACATATATTTTTACTGTGCTTCTTCGGATAGGGATTCAGATAAATTCTACACCTTGGCTAATGATTGATATATCTCTTAAGTCTCTTATATGTAGGTTCCCTTTCTATTTGTTTCCTTATCTTTGCAGTTTATTTTTTGAAGAAACAGGATCCTTTGTCCTATCAAGATACAAAACATTTTCATCATCCTTCTAGGTGTTTTTGCCTTTGTCTCTTTGGGAACTTCATGGATTTCATAGTCTCAGACCAGTTTTTAATGCCAATTCATGGGTTTGGGGATTATAAAACATCTAGGTAGTACAACTTTGAAATAAATACATGTCTCCTGTGTCGGAGTTTTCAGTTTTTCACAGCAGACTTTTTACCTAGGCTGTTGGAGATGTTCTGGACTTTATCACTCATAGATTCAGCTCTAGGTCCCTTTGCTTCAAGGACTACTTCCTGAACTTCTTTCTAGCCTGTGATCATTCAGAGGTTAAAAACTATAGTTTTATTCCCTCTCAACTGTTTTGGGTTTGTATCTTCTTAATTTTTGGCAGCAGTGGAGTTTCTGCTCTTGGTTTTGAAATCAGTTATGTATCCCAATGTTATTTTGTGATACTTTATCCAGTATTTCCCTGTGTTTTGAAAGGGGCTAGAAGGTTTTCATCTGTGTCAGCTCTTGCCAGAAACTTGACTCCCGTTTCACTTCAAAACTCAGCAAAGTTCCTCCTTTGAGTGGGTATTCCTAAAGCATTTACCTTACTCTGCGGTATACTCTGTGAACATTATTTTTCTGCTTTGATTCTACATTTTTTGAGATTAGAGTTTTTTTTTTTTTTTTTTTAATATTTATTTAGGGCCTCCCCGGTGGCGCAGCGGTTGAGCGCTGGGTTGCGAAGCTGCTGGCAGCCTCTGCAGCACCGGTTCGATCCCCAGTTGCTCCCCGGCCACCAGAGGAGGGTCCCACATGGCGCGCAGACCTCTCCTGCCGCCCGCTGCTCCCCTCAGCAGTGTACTTCGGTCCTTCTGCCTGCTCTGCTCCCCACTCTGGCTCTGGTGAATTCTCTCACCCTCCCGCGCTTCTGACTGTACCCAGTACTTGTATGTATAAATAAATAAATAAATCTTTAAAAAAAAAAAAAACTTAAAAAAAATTTTATTTAGTAGAACATCTGGGGTGTACCAGAGACAGAGTGGGGAGCAGAACAGGTGGATGTACTGAAATATACTGCTGAGGGAAGCAGGGGGCTAGACAGAGAGGTCTGCTGCGCCATATGTGGTCTGCGCAGAGGTCTGCTGCGCCATATGCTCCCTGGCCTGGGATTGAACTCAGGCTGTAATGGTGATAGCCTTGAGACTTAACCCCTAGGCCACCAGGAAGGCCCCCGTGTTAAATAATTCTTTTTGACTTTGTATTTTTGTGGTTGACCACAGTCATCATTGCATCCCCAATGTCTAGCATGATACCTTCCATAATAAGGGGGGAAAATAAGTATAATGTTTCTAGCTATAATATTTTTATCTTTGATATGAAATTTACAAAGATAAATTTGATAAGATTTTCATGTAATGAATATGCCATGAAATTTGGTAAAATATCAGATGTTAAAATAAGAAATGTCTATTTTTGTCTATAAATTTAAGCAGCTATTACTTAGATTTTGCTTTCAATTTTTCCAGTTAGGTATTCGCACTTTATGTTCTTCATGATTCTAGCTTATTAAGTTTGCGTTCAGGTTTGTCCTCAGAATATTACGGGAGCACTGTTTTATACAGAGTACTGCAGAGACAGAATGAGGCAGTAAGTAACGATATATGATACTTCATTGTTCTCAGTGTCAGATTCATTAGATGAATTTGAGCAGTTTTAATAAATAATAGAACAATACTTAATACATGCCTTACTGATGATAAACTCCAAAGTAGAGACTCTATCTTGAATTTTTTGTTTCTTCTAAGTTTTGAATTCCATCCAAAGTGGATAACTACCAATTTGAGTTAGGCATTCAGAAAATATTGAATGTATATTCAGTGCTAGGTATTTATTTGATGACTTCATTTGTTCTTTTGTCCCAAGTTTGGGACATTTTTAAGTTCCAAATAGGCATTTGGTCATAAACTCTCAGCATTGTTATCCTTAGGTTTTTCTCTACTGATTAATAGAGTAAATATGACAGTGACTAATAGTAGTGAATTTTGTTGTATACCTTTCCAGGAGCTCTTATAGCAAAAAGCATAATCCTCTCCAAAAATAGCAAATCTTTTAAGATTTATCATGCAACCATTGTGTGAAGATAACATTTCTGCTTTCATGCTCTCCCTACTCCAGCAGTAGTAGATAATGGATTTTTTTCTTGTGGTCACTGATTTGCATTAATTTGTCTACCCAATTTGAATGGGTTTCCCGTTGTGACTAGTGATTTATGCCCAAGAGTTTGCTGACTGAGTTTGTAGTATGATGGCCCACTTGATGTATGAAGCCCATGTTCTTATCAACTGAATTCTAAGTGTTAAGTTCCTATAATATCAAGTGGATTAACATGACAAAATTCTGCCTTCTAAGTCACTGTATTTTTATAGCATATGTAAATTTTAAATCATTTGCTGAAACTGAGGTAGGTGGGGAGCAATAGTATTTGCTTTTTTTAACCATGTGTTGTATGTTTTATTTGGGATGAGCATTTCAACACATTTATTAAAATACTGTTTTAGTAGAAGTTCTAAAAAGTTGAAGGAAAATGAATAAATTGTTAGAAATCTTGTGATCCTGGATTACTTTTGACATCTGTTAGTTTGCTTTTTGATATGCCTCCACATTAACTGAGATTCTTATTGTAGTCTGAAAAGCTGTCAGAGGGACATATTGACCAGTTCTAGCTTCTGGACCATTATGTTTGCTCTCATTTTGATAATTTTACATTAACTACCCATCCAATTTTAAGGGAAAAAGTTAACAGTTGTAATTTTCTTGAATATAACTTTCATGTTTAATAGTTATATGGTACTTTGAAGTACTTACCATGTACTGGACACTTTTTACAATTATTAATTTTTAGTGATTACATATAATTATTAAAGTATTTTTATGAGTTGTAGAAATTTATTAATTTAGTGCTACATTTCTTTTACACAGCATAAGCATCTTTCCTCCTATAATTTAATCATATGGTCTTTGAGTAGTATACATTAAGTTCATCAAATATTAAGTGCATCATTATGTTCATCAAGAATAATTAAAGTAGGGCCTCCCCGGTGGCTCAGCAGTTGAGCGCTGGGTTGCGAAGCTGCCTGCAGCCTTTACAGCGCCAGTTCGATCCCCGGCTGCTCCCCGGCCACCAGAGGAGGGTCCCACATGGCGTGCAGACCTCTCCTGCCGCCCGCTGCTCCCCTCAGCAGTGTACTTCGGTCCTTCTGCCTGCTCTGCTCCCCGCTCTGGCTCTGGTGACTTCTCTCACCCTCCCGTGCTTCTGACTGTACCCAGTGCTTGTATAAATAAATAAATTAATTTAAAAAAAAAAGAATAATTAAAGTAGAAATTAAAATTAAATTAAAATTTTAATTATCTTTTCTCTTTTTTCATTTCAGCTTTACCAACAGGGACGCTTATGTCAACTGGGCAGTGAATTTTGTGAATTGGAAGTTTTTGCTAAAGTATTGAGAGCTTTGGATAAAAGGTAAAACCACTTTTTGAAAAATGTGGTAAAATATACATAAACTAAAATGTACCATTATAACCATTTTATAACTGTACCATTCAGTTGCATTAAGTACATTCTCATTGTGAAACTGAATACCGCCATTGCTTTTTACATTCAAGAAACAGACTGAATTCCCTTTCCCATTGTGGCTGTTACGATGTAGGATCCATATGTGGGTTGACATAGCTTTTGTTGATCTCTTTAGTGTTCTTCCCTAAATCTACTTTAAATGCCATTTCCTTTTCATAACCTGCATTTCTAGGAAAAATAAGAATAGAGTCTTACAAAATACTGTTAATCTCTAATGTGGGTATTGCCAAGTTGTTTTCATTCATGCAGTATTGTAGATGCTAGGGTATAGCACTGAATAAGAACTATAGTGTCTCTTGTTCATGAAGTTTGTGTTTTAGACAGAGGGACAATAAAAATAATAAACAAGTAAATAATTAACTGATTTCACTCTTCATGAATAACTGTAAAAGCTTGTTTTGGAGGTTCTGGCAGGGAAGTACAGCTAGTCATATACCCCTGACCAAGAATGATATGTTTCCTTTCGGGGAAGGCCTTCCACTTAAACTCTGAGTGCGGCCTGGGGAGGAATGCCCATGGAACAGTAAGGGAGATCAGCCAAATCACCTGAATCAACCCTGGTGATCAGTGGGATGACAGGTGTTACAGTCATATCACTCTCACAACCTCACAAATAATTCAGAAATGTGGCCCGTGTACTATAAGACTATAGAGAAACCTCGTGGTTAAGTAATTAAAGGTAACTGAAAAAAAAAAAAAATAGATGAGAACTTTATTTTGTCAAAAGAAAATAGTAAAACTTTAGTAAGCACAGAAAGTATTAAGACTTTAAAAAGACATTATTATTAGAAAAGGTTTGCTTTCTGGGATTTGAATTTCTCTGTGCAATTCTAAACATGGCCATTGTAAAGATTTAGTGGAATACCTTTCTTTCATCTCTCAGGTTATCTTTCACCAAGTCCATATCCCTTGGTAAGTGCCCCTGAAAGCATGTGATTTGACATTTCTCCACTTTATCCAAAGCAGTGACTCCATCATTTATGATTTTGTTTTTAAAACAATTTTTGAGATGTAATTTACATATCATGAGTTCACCGTTTGTGCGATTCACATGGTTTTGCAACCATCACCCCTGTCTAATTTTAGAACATTTCATCACACCAAAAAGAAACCTTATAATAATTTAAGTCACTTTCTATTTCTTCTCCTTTTTTTATCAGCAAAATAATTTTATTTCCTAACACATGGGAGACATACATCCAATTTATACTTTTATTGCACATTTATTCACAAATTACTTCTAAATTACAGCTGCTTTGATATTTAAGCATGTACTAAAAGTTATTGAGATATGCTAACTGCTTTTATTGTAGATGGATAAAGCTCTGAATATATTAGATTGATATATTAAATTCAAAGCAGGATTTACTTTATTTTGATTAATTCCATAAATTTAAAGCTCTAAAAAGCTACTACTTTGGCTAAAATGGGTAGGATACAACAACATCAGCCTGTATTTCAGAGAAATTTTCTTTTCTGTGGATGGAACTACTGTGCAGGCAGACTCAATGTGGTGGTGGTAAAGCATCCACAATGATTTTGGCAGCATTGGGGTTATATTTAAAGGGTCTCAGATATTGTTGTATTCATGCAGCTGATTCTTTTTCCATCAGTTTTCTTCATCACTAATGCTCTCCAATGGTCATGAGTGCTTTTAATAATATCACTTGCAAAGTTCTTATTTTTAAATTCTGCTTTGAAAGCAAACCAGTTCTCTGGTTTTCCATCAGGAAACTTGCGCCTTCTAAATCAGTCCTCAGTATCTTTTAGATAGCCAGGTTTCAGTCACTTGACATTATTAATATCATTGTAATTGGCTGCATCAGAATCATCCATGCTAATGGCAATGAATTTCCAGTTGGTTTCCCCTTCATTGATCTTAGCCAGTTTGCCCACAATTTTCACCTGATTAGTTTACCTCTCCCACATACCTTGCTTGCTTCCAATTTCACACATATCAATTGAATCATTGTCAACAACTATGTGTTTTGTCATTGTCTTGGGTCTTTCCAAGTCTGAGCGATGTCTCCATAGTTCCAGACTTGCAACATAATCAAGTTCCCTTTCTTTCACATCTTGTTTAATTGGATTTACTTTTTTTTAAAGATTTATTTATTTATGCCTAGAAGAGCTCGGGTACAGGTCAGAGATACAGGGGGTGAAAGGACTCTCCAGAGACAGAGTGGGGAACAGAACAGGGAGATTGACCAGAGTACACTGCTGAGGGGAGCAGCGGGTGAGTCAGGAGAGGTCTGCTGCGCCATGTGGGTTGCTCCCTGGCCAGCCGGGGATCGAACTCGTGCTGTAGAGGCTGCGGATTGCTTCATAGTGCGGTGCTTAACCCCTTGCGCCACCAGGGAGGCCTTTGTTTAATTGGATTTAGAGTTCTTTGTAGCAGTCTTCATTTTTGCATTAGACCAACATGGTACTTTGACTACCATATGGAATACATCCTTTTCTGCATAAATTGGAATATCAGGAAATTGAGACATTGTTCTTTTTCATTTTTGAGAAAGATTTGATACTTGAGGGTGATGGGTGGAGTGTGCTCCTTGCTGCTGATGTCATTCATGGTTCCAGAGAGGAATCACTGCCACTTCCACAGGGCCACCAGCCCACGCACAGCACTGACTTCCTATTTTTTGTTATCCCCCGTCCCTGGCTCACCTTTAATCTACTTTCTGTCTTTGGATTTATCTGTTCTAGACATTTCACATATATGAAGTCATAATAAATATATGATCTTTTCTGACTGACTTATCATACAGTTTTCCAGGTTCATTCATGTTGCTTGTATTGATCCTTCTTTCTTTTCTGTGGAATTTTCCATACAATCTTCCATTGTATGGGTTTGCTGTGTTTCATTTATCCATCATTTGGATTGTTTTCACCTTTTGGTTGTTTTGAATAATGCTGCTATGAACATTCACGGATAAGATTTTATGTGGACATGTTTTTAATTTTCATGTTTTTAATTTTTAATCCAAGAAAATTATAGGGTATAGACATGACCACCCTGTGTTTAATGTTTGAGTAACTTTTAAACTTTTCCACAGCATCTGGACCATTTTATGCTCCTAACACCAATGTGTGAGGGTTCAAATGTTTCCATATCCTTGCCAACACTTAAAAAAAAATTATAGCTATCCTAGCAGGTATGAGGTGGTATCTTACTGTGATTTTGATTTGCATTTCCCTAGTGACTAAGTTAAATATCTTTTCTTGTGATTATTGTCCATTTGTAGGTTTGTTTGTTCAAATACATTGCCCATTTTTAAATTGGATCATTGTTGAATTCTAAGACAGTTTGGTTTTTAAAACCAATATTGAAAGTTTGTTTAATCCTGTCTCAGTTTACACTCCATGTATTCTTTTTGAGTGTTACAGTATCACTCAATGAACCACTGAGTAGGGACAGTAGACTGATTTGAGAATTATTATGACCTTATCATTTATAAGGCAAAAGGCTTTTCTCTTATTCCACCCTGGAAAATAATGGTACTGTTTCCAAAAAAAGCAAGGTAGCACTTAATTAAAGAACAAAATATATTAGCTTTATAAAGTAATTTTTCTTTTTCTTCTAGACATTTGCTTCATCATTGTTTCCAGGCTTTGATGGATCATGGTGTGAAAGTTGCTTCAGTCTTGGCCTATTCATTCAGTAGACGGTGCTCTTATATAGCAGAATCAGATGCTGCAGTAAAGGAAAAAGCCATTCAGGTTGGCTTTGTTTTAGGTGAGTAATAGTAAAATAGAGGAGTGTTTTGTCCTATGACATTATGTAGACTTCAACCATCTAAAAATAAAGGATTCTTCCAGGAAATTCCCAAGTCTGTATAAGGTGGTTATAAGAAAAACATCAGAAAAATTAAAGTGTGATTTATTAAGCATTACCTTTTTGCCAAGCACTCTGCTAGGCATTTAAGTGCTATTCTGAGTACTCATGACATTCCAGTGATGTGATGGTATTAATTGCATTTTGCAAATAAAGGAAAAAGATTAAGAAAAGTTAACTTGGTCAAGTCTCATAGTTAGTGATGAAGCTAAGATTATAATCCTGCATCTAAACAGCTCCAAACCACTTCTTTCTATCATGTCGTGCTGCCACTAATCTCGCACTTGTTTACTATATTCTGTGACATGGAATTTAATCACTTTGGAACCTCAGTTTTCCCACCTCAAAAATGAGGGTAATTTTGTATCTCCTTATGGGTATGTTATGAGAATACTAAAAATGTTAATGGAAAAGCATTCTGAAATGATTTTGTATCCTATACTTAAAAAACCGTTTACTATAGGGCCTCCCTGGTGGCACAAGGGGTTAAGTTGTAGTACTGTGAAGCTGTCCGCAGCCATTGCAGCACAAATTTGATCCCTGGCCAGCCAGGGAACGAATCCACATGGCCCAGCAGACTTCTCCAGTCTTGCCTGCTGCTCCCCACAGCAGTGTGTTGCAGTCAGTTCTCCTGTTCTGCTCCCCACACTATCTCTGGTGAATCCTCTTACCCCATGCACCTCTGGCCTGTACCCCAGTTCTTGTATGCAAAAATAAATCTTTCAAAGAAATTTTTTTTCTTGGAATTATTTTTGTAGATTCACAGATAACATAAAAACCAGAAAACTCACACTGGTTTAATACTGTTAATTAAATACAGACCTTACTTAGTTTTCACTGGTTTTGTACTCATTTGTGTGTGGTTTTGTCCTATGCAGTTGATTTCCATGTAGAGATTCATATAACTACCACTGTCATCAGAGTATAGAACTATTCCATTACCACAGGCTGCCTTAATATGTATATGTTTTTCCTCTTTCGTGCAGGTGTACCTACACTTTATTTGCCAACAAGATTTCGTTTTTGTTATCTTTGGTCTTAGGATAATTCTTTGTGGTGATTAGAGGCACTTTGCTGGAGAAATTTCAAATCATTTTTTTCTAAAAAGAACGCACAGCATTTACCCTTTAATATCTTTGTGTCTTCTGTGGTGTGCTGCTATACTGAACACATCAAAATTATTTAGATTTCTTGTTTCTTCTTTGGAATTGGGTATGGAGAAATAGAAAAGTGATGTTTATCCTATAGATAAAAATATTGAATCTTAGAATATAATGGCTAATTAATTGGAAAATGTCAACTCTTAAGCCGTGGAGTATTCTTAACGTGGTAAAACTCCGAAGGACTCACCTTTGATCCTAGTTCCTCTAGTTTGAAAGTTCCTAATTTCACAATTAATATATTTGTTTTGGGCTAAATATGGTACTTTGATATTACAGGTTTTTTTTTTTTTTTTCTTTTTAGGTAATATTTGCTTTAAGCCTGTCATTTTAGCATTTGTGATTTATTAAATTATCTAAAGTTACTGGTTTTTCTTGTCCTTCAGGTGGCTTTCTTTCAGATGCAGGCTGGTATAGTGATGCTGAGAAAGTTTTTCTGTCCTGCCTTCAGTTGTGTACTCTACATGATGAGATGCTTCATTGGTTTCGTGCGGTAGAATGTTGTGTGAGGTAGGTTGAAAGAGATTCCTACAGTTTTGCTGTAGTGGTACTTAGAAGCTTTTATAGTTTTAGCTCTTCTAAGCTTACTCCACCATTTGAATAAACCTCTTAGAGTGTATTTATATGTCAGTTTCACTAGTCTGACCTCCTGTCTCTCATCCCCATTTAAGGCAGTTTAGACTTGATTATTATGACCCAGATGCTGTAATTTTATTATACCTTTTTGCTTTGTCATAAAACTTGCTTGTTTGCTCATTAAATAAGTATTTATTGAATGCCTAATACTTAAAAATTTTTATAATGAGACTTTTGAATTTGGAACAAAAAGAATAAATGTTATTTTTTAGATGTAGCACATGCTGAGTATGCAAAGATACAAAATATTTACAGATGATAAGAAATCATGATTGGATGAGATTAATCATCGGTAACTTCTGGGAAGAACATATGTTTTATATATGCTTCAATGGCAGTATGGGCCCAGCAGTTACTTTCCAGTGCTGCCACATTTCTTGTATCTAGTTTTCTTGAGTGCTCTGTAAGAGCTTATTAAGTATCCCATACTGAAAGTACCAAAATAGAGGAATGTTATTTGTACTTTTGTAGATTGCTTCATGTGCGAAATGGAAATTGCAAATATCATTTGGGTGAAGAAACATTTAAGTTGGCTCAGACATACATGGATAAACTCTCAAAACATGGTCAGCAAGCAAACAAAGCTGCACTCTATGGAGAATTGTGTGCTCTCCTGTTTGCAAAAAGTCACTATGATGAGGTGAGTGTTTTGAAGTATTTTATTGTGATCAATAAGTAACTACAAAACAGAATGAATCAAATAATATTTTATTTATCTTAGTCTCACTCTCACATAATAAAGTTTACTCAACGCAGCATACATTTGTAATGGAATCATTTAAAATGAGGCAAAAGGAATATTCTGTGAGATGGATTTTCAACAGACCTGTATGATTTAGAGTTATTTTGTGGTTTGTGTTCTTGATGTATAATAGACATACAAACCTGTTGTGTTTTTAGTTTGACCAAAATGTATCTCCACCTAAATTAATCTGATTGTTACACTTCAGTAGATGTATTTTATTCAGTGTGTGGGTGTGGCTCTGGATGAACTCTCACACTTGAAGGCATTCATTTCTATGAGAAGCTGGAGTTTATTTATACATTATTGCATTGATTTGCTTTTCCTACCTTATGAGAAAGATATTTGCATTCTTGGCTTTATATTATTAATTATTAAATTAAATTAATTGGTTGCTTTATTTATGGAAGAATATAATTATTTATGCTATCCGATGTTAATTTAACTTCTGTATTTTAAAATTATCCCTATCTTGATTTTTAATCAAGATTAATATTAATAATACCCATTAATATAAACAAGTATGTTCCATCTTTACAGGAAAGTTTTAATTAGATGTTAAACTACAAAATTCTAAAATAATTGTAAAGTGATGTTATACAATTAATATAATTGTAAATGCTGGGATAATTTGGCTTTTAATACCTATAGTAGAATGTATCAAACCTATGTGTAAAAATCTAAAATAGTAATATGCCTGAACATTCCAGGTTTGTGTGTGTTCTTCTGGTTGTTGTTGTTATTATTATTATTTTTTTTTTTTTAAGAGTTGATGGGGTTTCTTGGTCTTTTATTTTGTAATTTTTTTAAAATGAAGTGCCATTCTTCTACATCCTTGTTAATTTTTTGATAGTATAGGCTGTCTCCCTGTCAGGTGTTGTCACCATAGCTCTCCCACCATCAATCTTCTGCTTGTTTTTGATTTCTTATGTCTGCTGAATGCTGTTGATGGATTGTTCTGCTGCCCCTTATTTGCAATCACTCCTCCATGGCCTATCATCACAGATTAGAGCTTGACCACTTTGTATGCACAGACAACCCCATTCACAGAAGGCCCTTGTTTGGATAGCCAAAGCTACTAAAAGAATGAGATGAGCAACATCAGTTTAAGTATTAGAAGTGATTGTCTTAAAAGTTCTTCTGGTCCCCCACCAACTTTGCACTTTGTATAGGAATGGACCTTGCCATTTCTGCTGTTGCTTTCATTTCTTTTTATCCCTGTTTTTATATTGCCCTCTGAAATGTTACACTTTTCTTTCTGTTACATTGAATGATTCGTGTATTAGCATTCTTTATTGCCATACTCAGCTCTGGACCTATCTTAATATATCTAGATCCTCCAGTGTACTCAGTGGAACAAAAGTGCTTTTTTTTTTAACCAGTTTCCTTTTTTCTTTACTAGGTAGTTAATATTTAATTAATATTTTCTTTCTGTGTTTATACTTTGCCTTATTCATGATCTTTGCCACTGTCAGCACATTCGTAGTCTATAGATGTTTTAAAAATAATTTTGAGTTTATTCTTGTAAATATAAATAAATTTGTTGTTGACATTACAGAAAAGTACATGAATCTTGAGGATCTAGTTATATGAATTATTACTGTGTTCTCATGTTAGTTGAGTAGGCCAGGCTATGCTGAGGTAATACCAACTCCTAATAGCAGTAACTCTAAACTGTGTAAATTTATTTCTTGCTCATCCTACAATACTGTATTGGGGTGTTTGTATCTGTTTTTAGCATTATGTCTGCATTTTGATCAAAACCCCATGTAATGAAGTAGCCTCTGTTTGGACCTTACTAGCAGAGGTAAAAACATCATAGGGAAGTGCTGGCTCTTAGAACTTTCTCCAGAAATGGCATATTTCACTTCTCATATTTTAATATTTTAATTGGCAGAAATAAATCACACAACCACGCTCATCTTCAATATGGAAGGGAAATATGTATATCCTTCCCCAACGAATGGCAGTAAATATTTTAAACCATAGTGTAGTCTTCCATAGTTCTAAAGATTTTACCTTCTTACTTTGGACAGAATCACCTTGTTTACTATCTTTTAAGCACAGTCTAGACTTTTTGGCCTAAAATGCATTTATTTCATGTTTGCACAAAATTGCTTCTGAATAGTTGTATTTTGTATGTGGAATGGAAAAGCAGGAAGCTTGCAGAAAAAAACAAATGTTTACTTAATATATATTCTAGTTTGTCCTACCCACTCCCATTCCTTATGATTCCTTCATAATGTTGTTTTGTTTATTTGAAGCAGTATCCAAGATAATTTATTTTCCTTTTTTTTCTTTCTTCTGCAAAGCTTTCTTCCACTAGGAGAGGAAGATTGTATTTTGTTCCCTGCTGGATACCCAGACACTAGAGTATAGCTTGGCACTGAGGCTCTCTTCTCTGTACTTCAGTTTCCTATAATAATGTACATCTCATAGGGCTGTTGTGTCAGTGAAATGTGTTAGTGCATATAAAATGCCTAGAACAATAGCTGGCACAAAGTGAGCACTCAACAAGCGATTAAATATAATATAGTGCTATGGCAGGGGAAGAGAAAGTATAGGAAACCTAGTTTAGGACTGAAATCTGAAAGACAAGTTATAAGGGTGAAAGGGTTAAGGAGAAATGTGTTCTGAGAGCGAAGGAACAGTATCTGCAAAGCCTTCTGGACAAGAGAGAACATGCCTGTGATTTCTTGAATGTGTGTCATACCCCACCCCACCCCCAAATGTAATAAAGTTGTGCTTTCAAGAAAGCCTCATAGAGAAAATTAAAGTGTAAATGCCATTTTGTGTATGAACTAATTCAAGTACATGAACAAATACAGGAAAAATTCACAATCATTTTCATTAAATATTTTTAGTTTCGTTTTTCTGTAATTTTTTTTTTTTTTTAGGCATACAAATGGTGCATTGAGGCAATGAAAGAAATCACAGCAGGTTTACCAGTCAAAGTTGTGGTGGATGTTTTAAGACAAGCCTCTAAGGTGAAATACAATGTTTTTTGTTGTTTTTTTTCCCTTAAGATTTTGTTTTTTTTTAAAGATTTATTTATTTATGCATACAAGAACTGGGGTACAGGCCCTAGGTGTGGGGGGTTAGAGGATTCACCAGAGACAGACTGGGGAACAGAACAGGCAGACTGATGTAATACACTGCTGAGGGGAGCAGTGGGTGAGACAGGAGAGGTCTGCTGTGCCATGTGGGACCCTCGCCGGCCGGCTGGGATCGAACCGGCGCTGCAGAGGCTATGGACAGCTTCACAGCGTGGTGCTCAACCTCTGTGCCACCAGGGGAGGCCCTTAAGATTTATTTTTATGTATTATACATATAAGAAATGGGGTGTAGGCCAGAGGTGCCGGCAGTGAGAGTTTACACCAGTGACATACTGGGGAGCAGAATAGGCGGATCTACTGAAATACACTGCTGCGGGGAGCAGTGGGTAAGACAGTAAGCCGTCTGCTGAACCATGTGGGTTATCTCCCTGGCCAGGAATCAAACTCATACTGCAGTGACCGGTGATAGCTTGGTGTCCCTGAGACATTAACCCCTGTGCCACCAGGGAGGCCCATAAGGTGAATACAATGTTAAAGTTATTAAATGAATTACAGGATTTAGCAAGGTAATTTTTTTTTAATTAGCCTATTTAACAAATTAGGCATTGCATACTTGACGGACTTAACGGTCTATTTCTAAATTTTTGAAATTTCTTTTCTAAAACTATCTCACGTAAATTTTAGCCAATTTCCCTTAATCAGGAATTGTTCATTTTGATAATTAAGGTCACTGACCTACAGATAGATGTAGTATTTTGGTGCTAGACTGACTTGAGTTTTTTATTTTCCTTGAAACTTTACCACGATCTAAATTCCTTTTGCCAAAGTTGTATGGTTTTTGATCACCTTGCTTCTAAGTAGCCTAATATTAAATCTTTTAGTCATAGTATTGCAGTCTTAGAGTATGACCGCTCTCTGTACTTGATCCTAGCATCATCTTAATCTGTAAAATTAGATTAACTTTTTGAGGCCATTTAGTAATACTTAAAAATAACTAATGCACTGAGATTTTGAAGCAGTGATGTACTTTTCAAATATACTCTACTCAGAGAAATTTTTCAATTTTGAAAATTCCATTTTTGCTTAAGGAAATTTCTATTAGAGCAAAGTTTCTAGTTTTAGAGGTTATGATTTCTCTGAGATCTCTTAAATCAGTCATTTATGCAAGTAAATAACAAATACTCAAGTCATTTTAGAGCTAGGATAGGGATATTAATTTGTTTTTAATTAATTTAAAACATTGGCTGTACATTTAATAAAAAACTGCTTAATATGTACAAGAGTTATAGATGGAACTCTACTATTAATGTTTGAAGGGTTTTTTAAAATCACTTTAGTCTAAATATCCTTATTTTTACATACTTATTAACTGAGTTAACAGTTTTTCAATTTATCTTTAGGCTTGTGTTGTAAAACGTGAATTTAAGAAGGCAGAACAGTTAATTAAACATGCTGTGTATTTGGCAAGGTAGGTGATTGTATTTAAAAATATCTTTACAAATTGTTTCTCTATACTTCATATCCTAATAGTTTTATATCTTCTTATAGGGATCATTTTGGATCTAAACACCCAAAATATTCTGATACACTGCTAGATTATGGGTTCTACTTACTCAATGTAGATAATATCTGTCAATCTGTTGCAATTTATCAGGTATGTTACTAGTTACACTTTTCATTGAACCTATATTAACTTGCTGACCTGTATTTGTTTGCAGTGTATAAATCACTCTTAACTTTTTGAGATCCTCATCATCTTTGGCACACTCTTACTTTCCTTAATGATAATCTAGAAGACTAAAAATTTAATGTTTTAGGAATTAAAGAAACTCATTTAGAGAAAGAGCTTTTGGGTTGTGGGCCCATATTTAAGTGTATTTTTCATTTGCCCAGATGATGGCCTGTCTTTAAGTCAAACTTAATCTTCAGAAAATTAGGCCATATAGGCAACCTCAGTGTCTGTTGTGACTTCAATACATTAGGACTTTTCTTCAAATCTGATGGAATTAGATCTGTAGAGTATAGATTTAAATTACTAGGATGTTGAATTTGACTGGTATTTTCTAGGAATTTATAGTTTATTAAATATTTTTGTGACTCTCTTAGGCAGCCCTTGATATTCGGCAGTCAGTGTTTGGTGGCAAAAATATCCATGTAGCAACGGCTCATGAAGACTTGGCTTATTCTTCCTACGTTCACCAGTATAGTTCTGGGAAATTTGACAATGCACTGTAAGTTCCATATTCCTTTTCAGTGAGGGATTAAGTGCTGTGTCTATTGTGATTTTGTCTTTCCTAGTACAGTGTTACCTAAATGTACTTTTTGAATTAAGCTTGTCTTTCTGAAGCTTTAAGAAGATGCCTTTAATGTTGAAGTCTTTTAAAATCATACCAATTTATAAGCAGTGCATTTAGATCTTACGTTTATATTGTATAATATTGAGACTTATATTTTAGAATGTCAGAGTACACCTTGTCTTTTGAATTTTCCCTTTAATAATTTTTGAGTACTACAGTAGCCTCTGGCTAAATAAATGGTAGGCCCTAAGCTTCATGCTAACAACATACAGAAATACTGAATAAACTATAATAAGCATCTTCTTAAATGCATAACTGAACTTGCAAAGAGAAACAAGGGAAGTCCCTGAGGACCAGTAATGGACTAAATTCCAGTTCCAAAAGGGTAGGCATGAAATATGGTGCAACTGCTCTAGGGTGGTGGGAAGACTTAGAAGTTACTGTAACCGCATCCGCAGGAAGCTGTGAATTAGAATTCAAACCCTCACATAAAGCCAAAGTAAAGTCTATCCCTTGGGAAAAGGGTAGACTGGGGGTAGGGGGAATCTGTCCATTAGCAAGAAAGATGATAAGGAAACTTATCCATCTGAGGTTGGGCACTTACTTGAACAAAAAAGAAACCTCACAGTGGAATTTATAACTAGACCTGTGTCACTCTTAAGTTTAGGCATCATGCACATAGGAACCCCTAAACAGCAAGTATTCTTCAATGATTAAAGATATAATATGGTTTGGCAAACTATGGTCTGCAAGCAAGAGTTTTTTTGAATCTTAGCATTGCTCATCTGCGAAGCTATCAGTAATAATTAGGAGTGAAAATGAAGGGGGAAAAAGCAGATTTTAAGATAAAACAACTGTGATACATATTGCAGTATAGAAGAACTTTGAAAATATTGTGCTAAGTGATAGAAGCCAGTTACATATTGTATGATTCCATTTTTATTAAATGTCCAGTATAGGCAAAGCCATAGAGATAGAAAGTGAGTGTGGTTTCACTCAGGCTCTAGGTAGTTGCCCAGGGCTGGGGGCTTGGAGGAAAATGGAGGTTGACTGCTAACGCAGGCACAGGGTTTCTTTATGAGGTAATGAAAATACTCTGAAATTGTGATGGGTGCATAACTCTGTGAATATAGTAATCTTTTAATTGTATGCCCTAAATGGGAATTGTGCAGTGTGAATTATTTCATAAGAGCTGTAATAAAAAATAAAATAGAATTGATAAAATTGAAAAAGTCATTAATAGTAATACTCTAGACAGGTTGAAAACAGGTTAGAACTGACTTAAAGAGATTGTGAGTGACTTGAAAAACATTTGAGAGAGTATCTCAAACATTTTCTCAGGTGGAAGATGGGAATAGAAGGCTTGGAGTTGTTTAAGAGGAAATGGCAAATAAAATAGACAAATAGTGCACCTTATGTTTGGTGAAATGGACTCTAAACAAATAAATATTACAGAATGATGATAGATTATTTTTAATGTTTTTAGGGACTTTCATATAGATTGGTCTTTTTTTTTTTTTTTTTAAGATTTATTTATTTATTTGTTTGTTTGTTTGTTTGTTTATTTATACAAGCACTGGGTACACTCAGAAGCGCGGGAGGGTGAGAGAATTCACCAGAGTCAGAGTAGGGAGCAGAACAGGCAGAAGGACCGAAGTACACTGCTGAGGGGAGCAGCAGGCAGCAGGAGAGGTCTGCGCGCCATGTGGGACCCTCCTCCAATGGCCGGGGAGCAGCCAGGGATCAAACCGGCACCGCAGAGGCTGCGGGTAGCTTCACAACCCAGCGCTCAACCGCTGCGCCACTGGGGAGGCCCATATAGATTGGTCTTGAAAGACTTTTCAGTGAGTGAGCCTTGTGGATATTCAGGGTAAGAACATTCCAGAGAGATAGTAAAGCAAATGCAAGAATCCTATGTGAGAACATGCTTTGCTCGTTCAGAAAACTGATAGGCCTGTGTGGCAAGAGGGAAGAGAGGAGGTTGTTTCTTAGCGTGGTAGGAGATGAAGGCAGAGAGGTAACAGTGAAAGATTTTATTGAGTCTTGTAGACTATAATAACAACATCTAATTCTGCGGGAGGTGGCAGTCCACTGGATGTTACTAGTCTTCAACACAATGGAAATTTAAAAGAAGAAACTGGTCCTTAACTGCAGATAGTTTTAGAAATGCTATCTGTATTATTAATTGTGAATTTTGTTAATGCTTAAATCACTTGTAACTAAAAGAAATGCCAGAATATATTTATCTGTATTGCAGATTTCATGCAGAAAGAGCTATTGGTATTATTACCCACATCCTACCTGAAGATCATCTTCTTTTGGCTTCTTCAAAGAGGGTGAAAGGTACCCTTTGTTATCTAGTCTCCGATATTTTTCAGTTAATGGTATATGGTATAAAATTAGGGGTATTTGTTTATTTCCTCAGAGATTAGAAATAATCTGAATAGCTAATTCACTGATTTGCAACTCTGCTTAATTTCCTATTGTTCATAATAAAAAGTTGTTTGCTTCTTTCATATAACATTAATAGGCTAGAATTTCTTCCTTCCTTCCTTAATCACTTCTCCCTCCCTCCCTTCCTTCTTTTCTTCCTTTTATGAACTCATACATTTCTTTTGAGGGGAAGATGGAGAAATAATACAAATGATTATTGCACAGTAATATGGATAACAAACTGAAGATGGATTTTTCAGTTTTCAGCTCCCTAGTACAGGTTACCCTTCATGTTGCAAGGCTCTTGCTGATACTACTATCTTCCTTCTCTTTAACTTTCCTTCTAGTTACTACCAAAGCCCTTTCACTTAAAGCATTTCTTTTGCCAACACAATTTGGTCATCTTTGTTGATTTCTTGCATGTTGGATATGTTTTACTTTAATTTTGTAATTTTTTTCCCCACACCCTTCTAGGTTTGCATTTTTAAATTAACATAAGTAATACATGATTAATGTCAAATTAAAAGTTAGAAAAGAGAAAAAAAATAGTCACCTGAAATTCACCAATTTGGGTGAATCAACATTTTGGTGAATATTTTTAATACTTTTCTTTCTTTAAATGATGAATGAGTTGCCCTTTTTTTTTAAGTTCATAATCTTTTCAAGTATATCATGAACATTTTCCTATTTCAATACATGTGGATATATATTCCTTTTTGTAATGTTTTTAACCCCACCATTATTATTGGACCTTTAAGTTGTAAATTTTAACCTTATACTTTTTAAAACTGCTAAACTAAAATCTCTTTCATGTACATGGATAATTTTTACAGAAATAAAACCTGGTTAAAAAGTACGTGGTTTTAATACTTGAAATGGAATTTGGAAGTTTAATGTAACTTAGAAATTTAACTGTCATCTTGCCTGATTTGGTTGAGTAGGAGGATTGAGATGTGACAATTAAAGATTATATTTTATAAATTGTAGCTTCAGAATTTTCAACAATGCTTAGGTACTCAGACACAGCTTAATATCAAAAAATTGCCTTTTCTTTCTTGTCTTACTTTGATTTGCTTTAAAAAATAATACTCATATCAGCAAAGTATAAAAGTGTGATAAAATAGAAATTATTCTGCAAATTAGTTCTATATATGCCTTTGTTTTTCTTAAATTTGAGTTTATTATACTATGCAAAATACAGTGACCCCCACCCCATGTATTTTTTTCAGTAGCATGGAATACTTTCACTTTTGTCAATTCTAAATCATAGTCACTTAAAATTATGTTTAACAAACACAGAGTTTAATTTTAACTGTTTGCTCTGATTCACTATGGTTAGAAGGTTTGGAAGTGCACTAATTTTATTGCTTTCTATTCAGCACTTATTTTAGAGGAGATTGCCATTGACTGTCATAATAAGGAAACTGAACAGAGGCTGCTTCAAGAAGCTCATGATTTGCACCTGTCTTCACTCCAACTAGCTAAAAAAGCTTTTGGGGAATTCAATGTACAGACTGCAAAACACTATGGAAACCTTGGAAGACTTTACCAGTCAATGAGAAAATTTAAGGTAGAGATGTGTTTTCTTATATTTTACTCTCTAAATTTTAAGTGATGAAGTATATGCTTCTATAGTAAATCTTAAATTATAAAATGTGGATTATTATATTCCTTCCTTAGTCTACAAAAGTACTGAGAAAATAGCTAGTATGAAACAGTAAAGGCTAATGCAGTTTAACGTAAAACATAACTCATAGCTGGTTTGAGTGTGTACAGCATTAAACAGAATGCCTGATTCATGGTAGATATGCAAGGGAAGTCAGCTATTGCTGTTGGCTTATAAACTCTTAATATATCCAGGATTAGATTCACTGCCTAAGACATTCATTTTTACCTGAAAGTCAATCTCTATATATCCCTCAATTAGTCTGAGTTTAGTTTATTAAAGGTTTGTCAAGACTCAAAACACAAAACAAAAACACAAACTCGCCTGTAAATTAACATTATAGTGTGGGCGCCTCTCTGGTGGCACAGGGGTTAAGACTCAGCACTATCAAGCTGTCATCAGCCACTGCACGTGAGTTCAATCCCCCACCAGGGAGCTAACCCACATGGCAGAGCAGACCTCTCCTGTCTCGCACGCTGCTCCCCTCAGCAGTATATTTCAGTCAGTTCACCTGTTCTGCTCCCCAGCTCTGCCTCTGGTGAATCTTCTCACGATCACCACCCCTGCACCTCTGGCCTACACCCCAGTTCTTGTATGCATAAATAAATAAAAATAAATCTTAAAAAATTATAGTGTGGCTTTTCCTAATAAAGTACAATTAAACTTTAGAATATGTTGGGCCTCCTTGGTGGTGCAGCGGGTTAAGCACAATGCTGTGAATCTGTCCACAGCCTCTATAGCGCCGTTTCGATTCCCGGCCGGCCAGGGAGAAACCCACATGGTGAGGCAGACCTCCCCTGTCTCGCCCACTGCTCCCCTCAGCAGTGCTTTAGGTCCGTCTGCCTGTTCTGCTCCCCACTCTGTCTCTGGTGAATCCTCTCACCCTCCCACGACTCTGGACTGTACCCCAGCTCTTGTATAAATAAAAATATATCTTTAAAAAAATAAAACTTTAGAGTGTGTTAACTGCAGTCGTTTTCATTTTTAGGAGTTTATGTTAATTTCATCTTAAAGTTTTGTGATTATAAAGTTTTCTCCTATCAATTTTGGCATAGGACACTACTACTATCATCTCTATGTGTATGGTTTCCCAAAACTGGTAATACTTTCCATTAGCATCTTTTGGATTATAACAGATTATAATCCAATAATCTGTCAGATTACTTTATGCTGTCCATACTATGTCAGTAGCACTTAGAAAACTTTTGCTTATTAGTTAAGAATTGTTGACATAAGAAAAAGTCTAAGCTAATGATTGATACGGATGAATATTTTTTCAGGAAGCTGAAGAAATGCACATCAAAGCAATTCAGATTAAAGAGCAACTTCTTGGTCAAGAAGATTATGAAGTAGCCCTTTCAGTGGGACATCTGGCTTCTTTGTATAATTATGACATGAATCAGTATGAGAATGCTGAGAAGCTGTATTTGCGATCTATAGCAATTGGTAAGTTAATCGAAAATTTCTTATATTCAGTTGCTTAGAGAGCAGCATGTCAAGATGTCTTATATGTGTATAATGCATTGTTATTATAAGACTCAAATTACCTCAGAGCTGCTAGGGATATCCAGGAATTACCAAAAAATCACCTGGAACATTTTGGTAAATATGATTTTTTTGTGTTGAAACCAGTAGTAATAAGTATGACAGTAGAGTGTCAGTAATAGACAAAAGTAGTTATTTTAAACATTTTTCCCACCCGCATATTTTCTTCTCCCTCTCTTTTCCTGACTTTAACATCATAGATCAAGGATATTTGTTTTTAACTTGATATAAATGTCTGGTTTATTTCGGTAAATGTTAATTGTGAAATACATCTGTATTGTTCCATTTCACTCCTTTGTGTTAATTTCCAGCACTATATAATATTTTATTGGATTAATATATTACTATCCATTTTACTGTTAATGGATATTCAGAACATTTGAGTTGTTTTCAGTTTAGTCCAATTAGAAAATAAAATACTGTGGTCATTATCTAAGGTTGTGCCTGTTAAAGTTCTTCTATATTTTTATATTGTTATTTTCTTACTGGCTTACGGAAGATCTTTAAATTCTTAATTTTTAATGTCATTGAATGTACTGATCTTACATAGTTAGTACATTTATTTTGAAGACATCTTTTCTTACTCCTAACCCATGAAGATATGTTTTCAGAAGATTATCTTCTGGAAGCGTTGTTTTACCATTCACATCTAGATCTGCAACCCTGAAATTATTTTTTGTTTATGGTATGGATATGAAGTTGACCCAGCATCAAAATTTCAAAAAACTGTCCTTTCCCATCTACTCTGCTGTACATGTTGATTCCCCATTATCCATAATATGTTGATTTGCTCAATACTAAAATACACAAAGTTTTAGGATTGCTAGCCCATAGTACTGTGAAAAACAAACTTTCTACTAAGAGTTCAGTATTTAGTTTTCTTTGTCTTTAAACTGAAGGTATGTTCTCACAATATTATGTTCAAGTTGCTTTACTATTTGCTCTCTCTCCCACCCTAGTGTAGTTACTCATTTGAAACATAATTTGGTTTATTTATGTCTGTGTAGCATTCCCCCATCTTTATTTACTACTTTCTTTTTTAATGTATGAATTACTTATGTAATAAAAGTCAACTGTATTGAAAGCTATGCTTAGAGATATGTGATTCTCTTTCTTACACCAGAGGTGCATGCTGTAGGTATTTTTTGTTCTTCACTTTTTTTTGACTTAATAATATACCCTGTAAATCACTCCATGTCAGTTCATAGAAAACTGAGAGATTCCTCTGCTGTATATTGCTGCATCATATGCCGTCAAGTGGATGTACCATAATTATTTGAACCTATAATTTCCCTTTGTTATATTTTGCAATTACAAATGTTACAAATAATAGACTTGTGTATATGTATTTTTCTGTTATTGGGAGTGCTGCCATGCTTTGCTTTTAGATCTCTTCAAATTAGTCTTTTCAATCTATGAAATTTTATAATTTTATTCTGGTGAGACCAACAGCTTCAGAGAAGAGAATTTCTTAAGTCTTAGAGATAGCTATATAGGACTGCATTGGAAAGCACTGATAAAGTCTTGAATCTCTTCCGATCAAGGGAATAAAAGCAAGCTTCCCTATTTATAGAATTAAACTCATGGGCCTCCCTGGTGGCGCAGCGGTGGAACGCTGGGCTGCGAAGCTATGCGTAGGCTCTGCAGCGCCGGTTCGATCCCCTGCCGCCAGTGAGGGTTCCACATGGTGCACAGACCTCTCCTGCCACACCCGCTGCTCCCCTCAGCAGTGTGTTTTGTCGGTTTGTCTGTTCTGCTCCCCGCTCTGGCTCTGGTGAATTCTCTCTCACCCTCCTGCGCTTCTGACTGTACCCAGTGCTTGTATAAATGAATGTATAAATCTTTAAAAAAAAAAAAAAAAGAATTAAACTCATGTCTTGTAAAAACCACTTATTATTTAATTTCATTATTTAAACTTCCTTTTTTTTTTTAATTTTTTTCAGGGAAGAAACTCTTTGGTGAAGGTTACAGTGGACTAGAATATGATTACCGAGGTCTTATTAAACTTTACAACTCCATTGGAAATTACGAGAAAGTGTTTGAATATCACAATGTTCTGTCTAACTGGAATCGGTTGCGAGATCGACAGTATTCAGTGACCGATGCTCTTGAAGACGTCAACACCAGCCCCCAGTCCACTGAAGAAGTGGTGCAGTCCTTCCTGATTTCTCAGAATGTTGAGGGACCGAGCTGCTGAGGGAGGACTTCAGTTAACCAATTTACCTTTTCCCAGATTCCAGGGAATTCATACTGTGAAATCAAAACCATGTTGTTTTTTGGGGCTGGAATTTGCATTGAAACACTGGTCCAGTCCATTGACCCTGTTTGGGTGATCCCTATCTTGCAGAGTATCCGTAGGAATAAGTATATATTCAGTTATATTCAGCATGTACCGCATGTATAAGTAGTCTGGCCCATATTTTCAATCTAGTAGAATAAATAACAGGAGATTTTTTTTTCTTTTTAAAAAAATAATTCATTTTGCAGAAAGCCTGAAAGAAAAAAAGAACCCCTAAATAAAACTATTTAAGAGTCTAAAAGAGTTGCATTCTTATTATGTAAGGATGATTTTACAACTTTTTAACATATAATTATTCCATATGAAGGTATTCAATACTGTATTGTAAAGAAGTTTTATGGGGGAAATCTTTATATGCAGTATAGAAAAGTTAACACAAATACTAATAGAAGAAGGACATCCTGACAGGTTTGGCTGCCTTACTCAGAGAAGGCGATATAGCCACTCTAGAGCACTATGACAAGGGAAGGACTGTCAGATTCATCTATACTGGACCAGTGTTGATCTGTAAGTAATAGAAAAACTGATAGACCAGTGTTTTTAACTCTGGTTGTTTGGTTGTGTCTTGGGTTTTTGGGTTTTGTTTTTGTTTCATGGGGTTTTTGTTTTTTTTTTTTGTTTTTTTTTGGGGGGGGTACAACAATGCAAGATGCTCTGATAGCATTTGCTACAGGACCAGGAGGATCTAAAAGGACCATCTTAATGTAGAAAGGGGTTATTTGGACCAGAGGCTTTAGATTATTATTTTAGCCCCTACATATACTTTATTAGTAGAATGATTTCATTTAGGTGTATAATGAAAAGTGATAATGCAAAAATTCTATTCATGTAATAGCAACCAATCTAGGAAAATGTGGCAAATTCAGTGTCATATCTTTAGTCAAGGTACAAGATGGAAATGCCATAAGCAAGTCTATAAATACCTGCTGCAGCCATCCCCCTTATTTTAAATGTTACCCTAATAATCAACACAATTAACAAATATGTTGACTAAGAGTCATGAAACAGCTTGTGGCAGGGTGGGAGTTTTTGGTTGATATTATAGTTTATGGGACTTAATGGAAAAAGGAATACCCTCAAATAAGCACGTCTCCTTAGAAAGGCTTCATTTTTATATAGTAAATAACAGTACAGCTAGATTTATTTTATTTGAAATTCACAGTCAAATGGAAAGATCCCTAATGATATATTTCACTAACTTGTTTTTCTGTTTATTGGGCTTTTTTTTTTAAGCCAGTAAGGTTTAATGTTGGTAACTTTTAAATTTGAGAAGTTATGACATGTAGCAATTCAAGAAACAAAAAGGTCTTTTTGCTGTTACCTCAGTTCTTATTATAGGGGCCTATTTGATGCCTCTATAGTCAAGAATCAGGGTTTTCCCCCCTATTTTCAGGGGTTCATGACTTGGCTGTTAGAGATGTTGCTCCTGGCTAATGCTGGGAGTAGTGTAATGGGTGAGTGGATGTATGTTGAATTTTGGTTTTCTTTTAACATGCATATTGGGGTGGGAGGGGGAAAAAATCTAAGCCATCTGCCACATCGATTACAGAAAAATTAATTGGAGATTTCAGATCAATTTGATTTTGAATACTTTTTTGAATTACCCAAATATAACCTTGTTTAAAACTCCTATTTGCAGTCTGGTTAGTTACAACCTGAGGAGGGAATTGACTGGGGAGGTACCTGAAATAGTGCAGCAAGCCCAGAGTGAAGCCACCCAAAATAGGTGATTTTGAAACCTGGGTTTGTTCCTCAAATTTAGTTATTTTCTTTTTAAGTTTTGAAAAGAGTACATCGGCACATCCCCCTCCCCCTCCCAGTTTACTGCAGTCTAATGCCAAGAGGCACCTTTTTCTTAATTACCAAATAGTCTGTGTGACCAAGGACTAACATTTTTAAGTTACTCAGCTCTATCCTCATGGACATGTATATGTGATACCTCCAAAGATATTTTCAGGATAGGCTTTGTATACTTTCATTGGTTATTTAGAGTCCTGTGGTATGTTTGTGGTATAGGAATGTCATGAAAAATTGTTTTTCAATAAATATTTTGCAACTTATGTTTCCATATGAAGTTTTTTTTTAATCAATATTTTTTTGGTTTGTGCACATACAGCATTTCCTAGAATAAAATTAAGCAAGTGATTTAAGGCCTCATCCTCTAATTCAGTTTGCGTTCAACCTCGTTCACACTCAGTATAGGATCACAGGGTGATAAAGTGACAGCCAGTTGTTTTACTTTCTAAATCATTATTGGCAGTTCCCCCTTTTACCATTGCTCTAATGTACTTTTCTGTAAATCCATATAACTGATTTAATGCAGACGCTTTAGGTTGAGAAAAGATTGCCAGCTGCTGTTAGAGATACAACTTAATATGCTACTATTTCTGGTTCTAATGAAGAAGAATATCCTAAAAACTTTGTGTGGAATTTATCCTTTAGTAGGGGTGTTTAGGATTAGTTAGCAATATGAATGTCACCATGGTTTATTGGAGTAGAAAGAAAGAAAAGAAAAAAATGTATCTCACAATAGCCAATAGCTTGCACAAATGGTGTGGTTGTATGTAAGGAAGCCCAGATCAACTTAAAGATTTCCTTGAAAGCTCAGCAAAATAATGTTAAATAAGGGGACTTTGGTCTCATCCGTCTCTGGCTTTCCTTTCTTCTCTCTTACCCAGTCTTTTTCCTAAAGTATGGTGCTACTCAAATTGGGTGCATCAGGGAGCTCACAACTCATGCACTGCCCAGGCGGTCAGTCACTCCTGCACTTAGAGTGCTGTTGGGTTTTTAGACGGTAACTATTATGGGTCCCCAAAGCTGACAGCCCAGAACATTGAGACCTTGTTACCATGAAAACGCTCTCTCTGCTTCATTAAAAATTGATAAGTATGCTTTCATCTGTGAAAAAGTTTTCACAAAGACTTATACCTAGTCTGTTGGGAAAAGTTCATAATTTTGTGAAATAAGTACAGAATCTGCAATCTTAAAAGCTCACCATGTGGCTGCTCTTACAGAATCATGAACAGTAAACATGCCTGAAACATGATTGAAGCTTTGGCCATACTTCACAAATTTCTTGAAGAAGAGTGATTTGGTAGGTGGCAGGTATAGTTAACTGCCACTCATGTTCCCCCTCCCATCCCTAGAATATGTACCCTTGCTTCCAAATTGTTCTTTTTCTGGATGGTAAAGTTGCTACTGGGAAAATGCTTATTTGTAAGTGCGGACTTTTGTAAGGGCTTTATTTTTGCTTTAAGAATTTATATTTTACCTCTTGGCTTTGGGGAAATTTAGTTCTTGGTAGGGAATTTTTGATCTGACGTTTGGACTTAACGTCCAACTTGAACAATAGTAGTTGTATTACCCACAAATCTCAGGAATGTTTTAGGCAGAAAACTGGTCTTACCCTGTTAGTAATCTGAAGGAGTGTGCTTTTAGCATTTATTAATAATACTATTCCTTAATTGCAGTCCTAGGTATCTATAGCATGAGTGGCCTTAGTGAGTTTGTTGAAGTGCACATTTTTTTCAAAAGTAAAATTTAAGATTAAAAATATATGCTATATATAAATATCTAGAAAACTTGGTTTGTGGTGCACAAGTTAAGTGTTGGATCAGTAAATAATTGTTGCAGGTACCATTTGTTTAACATTACTCATTTCTGTATATTCCTTTTATGGGAAGATATGTTGCCATGGTAACTAAACCTTCAATTTAGTTCTACTTTTATGATGTGAATGAATGCTACATTTTATTAAATATTACCGGGTCAGTACTATTTTTATACTTTATTAAGCAACAGGGGATTTTAGTTTAATGGACTCGAAATAAAAAGCTCTAAATGAAACAAAAGCAAATCACTAACAGTTCTTTACATGAAAATCCCCACTAATAGTGCCACAGTAATTTCTATAGACATACCTAAGTTCATTGATAAGATTTTTGAAGACTGTTCTTCATTGTGTCAGAATAACCTTTCATATCATCCTTATCACCAACTTGTAGTGCTCACCATTATTTGTAACCATAAAACCATACTAAGTATGTTTGTAACCAACATTGTGATATATTCTGTACTTGTATTGCTAAAAATGAATTATTGACCTAATAAATATAGTGTTCCTGCATTCACAGTGTATTTTTTCCTATCTTATTTGTGATTGCTTTTGCTTGAGATTTGGGATTAAACATTGCAGACCTTTTTTGTTAAAGAACAGTGTGAGAAACCATTGTGACTAGAACAAAAGTGCTCTTGTCAAGAAAAAATGTGTGGCAGAGACAGGATGCAGGAACAGCATCTGGAGAGGGTGCTCGTGAGCATACTTTGGAAAAGACAAAGCACTGTATTAATGCAGGGGATTACCAGTCTTGACAGAAAAGCAAACATTCTGTTCCTAATCTTCTAACTGTTAGACTGAAAATGAGTGAAGAGACATGGCAAAGTTTTTTTGTCAATAATGGAGAAAACCTTGGGCTTGGGTTCAGTTCCAGCTCTGCTTCTGAACAGTAGGAATTTGAGGTATGGCATTCTAAGTCAGGGTTTTATTTCCTCACGAATGGTAGGGTCAAATTGGGTCTTTTAGAGAAAACCATCATGAAACAGCATGAACCTTAAGCTCTCAAAACGGTTACAGGAATTGAAACCAAATTTATAAAGAATGAATCAACTTTTGGACCCAGTCACACCTTCACTTAGAATAGTACTAGCTTCATCACCTGCCACCTTCAATGATACTGAATTTTTTTAAATCCCTTTCATCTCCATAATTTTGAAATTGCCATTTCTGGTATAAAGTCTTTTTTTTTTTTTTAAAGATTTATTCATTTATGCATACAAGAGCTGGGGTACAGGCCAGAGATACAGGGGGTGAAAGGACTCACCAGAGACAGAGTGGGGAACAGAACAGGGAGATTGACCGGAGTACACTGCTGAGGGGAGCAGCAGGCGAGACAGGAGAGGTCTGCCGCGCCATGTGGGTGGCTCCCTGGCTAGCTAGGGATTGAACTCGTGCTGCAGAGCTGCAGAGGCGGCGGATTGCTTCATAGTGCGGTGCTTAACCCCTTGCGCCACCAGGGAGGCCCTCTCTGATATAAAGTCTTACTCATCTGTCTAGCTCAAAGGACAAGGGAAGTTTTCCCTTTAAGCTTGAGATTCTTGAGTTGTTTTGGTATTTAGCAGCTTTTTATTTGAAGCTTTGTT